ACCTGACGTTTTGGTGGTCAGTGGCAGACTGCTTTGCTGCGACTGAGGAGATCGTGTTTGGGAGTGCAGCCAACGATCTCCGTGGCGAAGAGGTTGTCGACGATCGAGGCTTTCCCTTCCGGCGAGAAGCACAACTACTGTCGCCGCCACCACTGTCTCCCCCGCCGCCACGAACCCTGCTTCTTCTTTCTTCTCTGCTTCAGCCTCTAGAAGGTCGCTACAAATCGCTCCAGCTACTCGCATCCGTTGAGGAGCCATCGTCGCTGGGCTCGACGCAGCTGCTGCGGCCACCACCGCCATCAGCGAAGCGCTCATCATCCCCTTCTTATCCCACCCGCTGCCGTTGCTTCCGTTTCCTTCCGCCGAGCACTTCACCACTCTCCCTCTCTTCGCCATCGACGGCAGCCCTGCATATCACCCAATCGATTCAATTTCTTGGTTCCCCCAAGCTGAATTGATAAAAGCCTAAGGTAATTGTGAATTTCAGGGGAGGGGGGCGTCAAGAGTACTCACCGAGAACTGGGGCGGAGGAAACCCCTAGAGAGGGGTTGCGACGGAGAGATGCATGGATGAAGGAAGAAGTTGTGGTCGTGGCGGAGATGGACGCCATTTTTCACACTCTGACCCTGGGAAGGAAGGAAGGGAGGGATTAGGACGGTAGCTGGTTCTGTGAGAAACTACTGGAAGTAGTGAGCTTTGCAGAGGTGATATAATTTGCACAACTTAATACTGATCATAGAATTTGCCCCCATCACAAAGTTCCATGCTAAGTTACTCTCCTTATTGGATCTTTTAGTTGTGTATAATTCTTGGTTTCGTGATATGGTATTGGAGATATGAGCAGGTGAGGTTTGGAACGGATCAGAGCATTAGCAGCAGTTGGTTGTGAGATGGTATGTGTAAAATGGAATCATGGTAATTACTTGGCTCTACTCATATAGGTAGGCTATATTTGAACCTCAAGGGAAGAATTCTCTTGCCACTTTTTAAGCTTTTTGTTTAGGTTTCCAGCGTCAATGTGTGCCTGCTTTATGTCAACATAATCAAGCTTAATTGAAAGCAATACTTCCCACTTTGTTCACTCAATTTTTCTGTGTTTCACAGCTTTATTATCTAACTTTTTTGTTTCTAAATTGCCTCTATTTTGGATATAACTTGCAGTTTAGGCTATGTAATCGACAACTAATGATTTAATCCATGACCTTCGGAAGAACAGTTTGAGTTTACATTTTCCTTATATCATTAGTTATTATAAGTAATTTGTTGAGTTCTTATGCTAATGTACGGTCTCTTTTTTCTTTTTTTCCTTTAGTAGTTTGGTCCAAGAAATCATGTGATCATTAATTTTTTCTTTAAGATCACTAGGTTCATCGATTTAGTTTGCCAATTAAGCATTTAACCTTCGTTTAGTTCCTAATTGAGAGCGTAAGATCATTTGTATAATAATAGTACATGCCTCCGATACTGTGTTAAGATGGAACTGAAATGAGTTGGATGTAATGTCTTTGTTTGGTCCACTTTTATTCAGTGTTCAAGAAGACGCGATTAATCTCTCGCCTAGGCGTGATTAATAGCTGGGCAGGAGGAAATCGCCCAGTCTAGCTCTGGGCGATTGATCTAGGCACCACCTAGGCACTCGGAGACGCGTTTTCACTTTGGCGGGCGACGCCCAGAACAACTAATAAAGGGGAAATTGTAGCCTTTTTGTGAAAATCCCAAACCCTATTCTATTTCCCCTTTCCACCCGCTCTGTAGCCTCCCCGAGAACCTGCCAAATCCTCCTGGAAGATTGATCAATCTGCACTTGCATTTGCCGGATTTGGTAGGCTAACTGGGTTGCCGGCACCAATAGTCTCTCGAAGGCCCAGAGGTTTCTATTTTTCCATAGTTGCCAACAGAAAGTAGCGAAGAGGGATGCGTCTATCGGTCTATGGTATTAATAGTCATCTTTATCACTATGCTTTTCATTTTATTTGTTGCTTCTAATTATAATGATCAACAGATAAGTCAATAAAATATGTGATCGCGTTGACCTATGAATCAATTTGGAATTGTGCAAGTTGTTGAAAATAAACACTATTTCAAGAGACATTGTTTTATGCAGGTATAACAGCTCCATTCTCTAGTAGCAAAAGCAAAGTCGATCATTTGCCTGGGGGGAGGGAAACATCTTTGGGAATCTTCTTGAAATTCCCCGACTTTTATTGTTGATCATCTAACCTTCCAAAAATAGCGATGAGCATAATGTAATTGTCCATTTTTTTGCAAGAGGATAATAATTCTTGAGCTTTACGGATGGTATTCTTTTTAATTAATTTTCTTTATTATATTTATTTAGTGTTGTAAATTTTCACTTCATAATGTTAGTATACGTGTAACTATAAACATAATTGTTGAAAGCGTACTAATATTTGTGGATACTCGAAACCTAATATGCTATGAAATAGATGGCAGACACAAGGACTGTCGTACATTTAGCATATGTTATACTATCGAGCTAAAAGCCGAGCACAAAGCTAAGAACAAATTTATGGGCACACAAATTTTTGACAAAAAAGTTTTTATTTGTTGGTGGTACATATTTGTTATAAATTTTTAGAATCTTTCAAATGACATAGTAGACAAATCTATAAGCGTTGACTTTTAGATATCAAAGGCAACACCAAAATCAATTATAAAAAATCCATATTGATTTCCTAAAATCATGAATCTTTTTCAGAAACTTAATTTTCACAAAAAATGATTGTATGTTTGAACTATAGAGTGCCTTATTTAATTAAAATTTTGAAGAAATAATTGGAATATTTCAGATATGTCCATTATAATACAATTGTACTATCCGTATACATTAATGTTAGCTATTAACAACCACAACTGCTTTTGGAGATATATATTATTTAAAAGTGAATTATTAGTTAATAATTTTGTATTTTCTCAATTAGTACCTAATGGTTGTCGACCATAAAATTTGAATCCTTTATTTGATAAATTTTTATCCTTCCAAATTACTAATAGGGAAAATTCCTTGGAGTTTATAATTAATACTTCAATGCTTAATTATTTTATTTTCATGGATATAATAGAAAAATAAGTGAATAATATCAAATTTTATGAAGAAATATTTTTTAAGTAATTTATTCTAACAATAGGAAGTGATTTTTTCTTAAATGTAAAAAATATATAGACAACAGTAAGCGATAGCATGATCAATACAAATACTTATAAACTAACTAATGTTACAATCAATAATTCGCACAAATATTAGTTTCAACCCACTAATAAATTATTTAGACGATCCCAAATTATTTGAAAATATGAAAAAATAGATTAATATAAAAATATAATAAATAAAACTAAATTCATCCGACCAACGAGTCGAGTAAAAAGCTAGTCATAAAATATGACAAAGTGGGGTTGGTTACCCTATAAAAACTTTCATATCTAGAATACCAATACAAAAACACATACTTTACAAATATGAACGAAAATAAGCATAACTAACTTGATATCTGGCCGAGACACGATGATTTAACATGCAAATGTCTTAAAATTAAATGCTAAATAGCGCCTATTTTATGTGTTAGACACGGCGAAGATTGCAATTAAATGCCAATTTTCACTCTTTTTTAACAAATTTTCTATTTTCATTTCAAAAAATTGACAATTACATCTCATCGACCATTTACACTTCCCTAATATGTAACCTGGTCGATGTGGATGGCTTCATCGCCACCAGATCTACTCTAGGATCGTATTAAACAAACGGAATTGACAGGTGAATCATGAAGAGACTCTGAGTATGTATCTTGCTAGCCAATGGGAGATACCATATATGAAAAAAAACTATTATAAATGAATGCGCTGATTTTACTTGGTTTTTATTGGTTGGTTGATTGGTAAGAGAGACTAGTTTCAGAATTCACTATTTTGAAGACAATGCATAGTAGAGAGAGAGGGAGCCATTAAAGGTTTATATATATAGACACCTCCAATTTTTCGTTGTGCTTGTTGCAATGGATGAATGGTGATTTGAAACTTGCTTATTCTTTGTTCTAGTTGTTCAAATCGAAAGGTAACGCAACTACTTCTAAACTTCGGAAGCAAAGATCTAGACCAGTATGCAGTAGTTCAGATCTCCAACCAGTACACAGGGGAGAGTGGTATAAGATCTATAATTAGCATTTTTTTCGGAAAAACTCTAAGATCAAATTATTCATTAGTTTTTCTCTTTCAACGAACTAAAGATCGATCATCATCTTCACCTTCATATTGAGACCAGAAGTCCGAAACCAATAACAAACAACCTATCACTTATTTATGACCTAATTCCACCTTTAAGTACTTACATAGTTTTTAACCAAGAGTTCCTTTATCCATGGTACTTTTAGAAAATCCAATTATCAAGTGAATGACCAATGTCTCATTCAACTTTTACCCAAGGAAAATGCTCTTAATCATGCATGGGAAAAGGCCCGCCCGTGCCCACAAAGTAAATGCAGAAAATGAGCTCATAACATCAGAGGGTGGATGGGCCAGGCCCATACCATAGGGACAGACAATCTCCTGCATCAAGTCCATACAGTTTAGGCAATTGCTTAATGACGAAATAAACCAATGCCCCAAAAGCAGTCAGTAGGATTAGAATCCGAAGACCAAGCTTGAGACCCATCTTGGATCGCCTCCATATCATAATTTTGACATTGCTGTAGTAACAATCGTTAACAGCCTCTATCTCGGAATCGATCGCCGTCTCGCCTCCCCACGTCGCCACGCCGGCGCCGGCACAAGCACTAATCCGGCCAAACAGTTCCACGACATTCTTATCATCACCACCATCATCAATGACTAATACTCCGGCTTCTCTGAGCAGCTTAGCGTCTTTGGGGGACCTAATCAAACACCGCATTAGCTCCACGTATCTGGTCAGGAGTTGGGGATGCTTGATGAATTTGTGTATAATGATTTTATTGATGGAAAGCTTGAATATTACAGAAGGTTTCCTACTCTATTTATACAAAAGGAAAGACTCACATATGAGCTTCTTGGTTTGTGAGAAAGACATAAAAAAGATTATCTCTTTATCTAGTAATAACTAGGAATGGTGCTTCTGATGAAAGTGTGGTAATTGTAAATAGAGTTGTTGGTGGTTTCTGCAGGCTATTGATGAGGTGTTGCAAGTTGTTGTTGTGGCAGACTATTGATGGAGCAACATGCCATGTTGCTGGAATGGTCATCATCTTCAACACTCCCCCTCAAGCGTAGACATGAATGACAAGAATGTCAAGTTTGAAAAGCAAATGTGTGGAACGGAAACGGGTAATGATCTTTTGTAGGATCGTGACTCCGTTTGAACGTCTTGGACGAGGTTGATGTTGGAGGCCACTGGCGGCGTCTCTTTGAACAACCTGATGGATATGTCGAATTAAATCGACTCACTAGTTCGGGTTTGCGCCGTTTACGGCTCCCAGGAAAAGTTGCTGCTTCTCAGCTAACTTTCCTCTCTTTGGAACAGCAACTGCTCATTGACTAGCTAGTTTTCCCTTCAGCTTTTCGATGGAGCTTCAATTTAGGATATGTTGCGGCTTCTTGGCTGGTTAGCATCCTTATCCTCCTTATTCTCCCCCTCAAGTTGGAGCATGAACACTGTGAATGCCCAGCTTGAAAGGTGATAAATAATTGGTCTTAGCCCAATAATAAACACCGAGGGGTCGATCTTTTCTAGGATCGTTTCTTCCATTTGAAGCGCCGAGGGGACGATCTCTTCTTGGATCGTACAACCGTCTAAAAGCGCCTTCGGAATGATCTGATCGAGAGTGCCTCGTGAAGCTGAGGGGCCGATCTTTTCTTGGGTTGTGTTTGCCTTTTGGACGCCGAGGAGTCGATCTCTTCTTGGATCATACAATCTTCAAACGTCAAGGTAACAACCTGATCGGAGAAACCTCGCACAGTGGCTAGACTTTCTTTGCCGGTAGAAACTGTCATTCACTCCAACAATGGCTAGTGGAGGGACGACCAACTCTTGGGTCGTGAGAATCTTCACTGTTTAAACGTTGTTTGGTGATGATTTGCTTTCTTGCCTGCAAATGAATTTGCCACAACCTGAAAATGGGACATTAAGAACCATTGAGAAATATGATTTGTGACCCCTGTCGAGCACCGAAGAGGATTCTTGTGATGGAAAACACATTGCTATGTGTGCATGGCCGTAGCTGGATTATGAGCTGCTGGTTGGTCATGAAAAGCTCAAACAAATGGGCCGATTATTTTTTTGTAACCCATCCTGCTGGGTTTTGAGAATGGGCCTTGGTTAATGAAGAGGCCCAAGGTGAATGAAGGAGATGGCCTTAGTAGGTTTGGGAAACCTTCTTTCTCGCCTCTTGGTGGCCGCCGTACCTCCTCTGTTTCTTTCTCTCTTCCCAAATTTTTTTTTTTTTTTTTTTTAATCTCCTTTCGATCCTCTCTCCGCACCTCCACCAATCAAAACGGCCGGCATGCACAGATCGGCGGCGGCAAGTGGCGACAAGGAATCGACGGTAGTCGGCGGTTGTGGCGGGTACTGGGCCACGGTACGACTGAACCGGTGGAGATGGTGGTTGGCAACTGATGACGAAGGCAGATCGATGGCGATGGCAATCGATATGCAGCGGTGGACTGGTTTTGGCGCCGACGGCAGCGGCGGTTTACGGTGGCTGAGACGGCGAGACGAAGGAATCGATGACGTCTCTGGTTTGGGCCGCTGACTCTGATGCGGCGGAGATTGATGGCGCCGAGGGCGCTGATGACGAAGGCGGTGAGAACTGCATCCGGAGTGCCGCCGGAACTGATGGCGATCGCGGTAGTGGTCGAGAGAGTTCGTCGGACTGAGATTCTCCCCGGGAATTGATCTGCCAGAGAGATTGATTGAAGGCGGAAAGGACTTCGCCTAGATGAGAGATGGCCCTTACTGAGATGGGCCGGAGATGCTGTTTATTTGTGATGGTGGAAGGATGAGGTGGAAGAGGAGCAGCCTGGAAAAGGCCTGCTCGTGATTGGAAATGAATGGACTGATGGCGGAAGCATGATTGACGAGGAGCAGCCTGGAGAATGCTCACTCATGGCTTGAAATAAAAACACAGACACAGAACTTTCTAGCGGAAACTTTAAGAACAAAAGAATAGAGATTTGGAAGAAAGGTATGAAAAACTCTCAACAGATTTGTTTCTTCCTTTTCTTCTTCTTGGGCTTTCCCTCACTGGAATCTGATTCCAGCTCTGATACCATGATGAATTTGTGTATAATGATTTTATTGATGGAAAGCTTGAATATTACAGAAGGTTTCCTACTCTATTTATACAAAAGGAAAGACTCACATATGAGCTTCTTGGTTTGTGAGAAAGACATAAAAAAGATTCTCTCTTTATCTAGTAATAACTAGGAATGGTGCTTTTGATGAAAGTGTGGTAATTGTAAATAGAGTTGTTGGTGGTTTCTGCAGGCTATTGATGAGGTGTTGCAAGTTGTTGTTGTGGCAGACTATTGATGGAGCAACATGCCATGTTGCTGGAATGGTCATCATCTTCAACAATGCTGGCTCCTCGCCAAGGATTCGTAGGCGACCAGGTTTTTCATTAGCACTTCGCAGTTGGGTTTGATTGTGAACGCCACGAGGCAGAGTGTTGTCCCCTGTTTGTCGAAGCTGATCGTAATTATCCTACCTTCCGACGGGTTGGGTCTGCAGAGGAATTTCACGCCGAGGCCACGAGCCAGCTGGGAAGCGGTAGGGATCAAAGCCTCCTCTTCTTGTAGATATCGGTTGAGGAACTTAAAAATCCCCAGGTCGAGGCACCAGGACAACGCGCCACCCAACCAGCTACCACCTACCGTCAGTGCAGTCAAAAGTAAGTCGCGTAAATTTTAACAAAAATTTGAAACCGTAGTAAACTTTAAAGTTTCAAACCAATCAAACTACATTCAAATTGCAACCGCCGATTAATACGTTTGGAAGTGTTAGATTTTGCTGTAAGAGAAGCGGCGGCGAGAAAAGGCGGCCCGGAGCCGATTACCTGCTTTTTTGGCGGCAAACTTCAACACGTCAATCGCTTCACCGTTGTCGCCTCCATTAGATATTTGCCCGATCAGCAACCCAGCAGGGACCGTTTCCATTATCCAGGCAACGGGGCTCGAATGGGAAGACTGTTCCGATGAACTGGTTGTCGAAGCGGCGCCAACTATCCGGAAGTACAAGTACTCCAACAAATGCCCAGGGAGGCGGCGGCAATCCTCCGGCGCGGCCTGCTGCAATTTGATGGGAGAAATTCGGTCACAAACGCGAGCCAAATCAAGCTGGCAACATGCGCGATCCATGAGCCAAAATAAGGGGATCTGGTTTTCCAGCATCAGGGCATCGTTCATCAGAAGGGATCCCAGCCGGCTCGATTTCTCGGACTCTACTTCCGCCGAGCAAGATTCAGAAGAACCGGCCGTGAACAGCAATAGTTCCAACAGGAACAGGCAATCAATTGCTATGAGGGACCCGAGAGCCGAATCGCTTATGTCGAGGATGCGTGTCGCGTCGCCGTATTGTGCCCGGATGAGCGGAAGCAGGGGCGCCACCACCTCGCCGGTGAAAGCACGGAAGTCGTCGAAGCCTGAGAGCCGCCGCAGGCCCTGTTGGATGAAGCGGCGCTTCGTGGCCGTCAATTCCCAGAGTGGAGCCTGGAAATGGTGAAAGGGTCCGAGACCCACCATCTGGGGAGAGAAGGATTGGGGATCAGAGGCCTTGACCGATTCAGGGATCCGGAGAATCGACGGAATCAGTTGAGGAAGGTCCAGATCGAAGACATCTCCGATATGCTTCGCCCATTCCGTCTCCGTGGAAGCGTATTTCAGGATTGAATCTGCATAACATGCCATTTTCTTGCCCTTCCCTTCCCTTCCCTCAATTATTGAATCTGCATCGACATCCACATCCAGATCCAGATCCAAGCCATTAATTTAATTTTCCGATGAAAGTCGTCGAAAATATTTAACAAAGACTAGGCCATCTATATGTATTTAATTTCCTTCGCCGGCGCTTATATGGGTTAAAGAAAGTAATCTGGTCTAGTGACAGAGGAAATACGATGGAAGCAGGTAGTGCTAATGTGCAGACCGATGAAATGGCAATGGAAAGCTGGGAGCTTCGCATTTTCCCGGTACCGGAGTCACTGAGAAACCTCAAGACTGAAGCCTACGCTCCCCGGCTGATCGGGATGGGTCCATTCCACCATTTCCGGCCCCGGCTGTACAAGATGGAGGCTCACAAGCTGGCCCTAGCCAAAGGCGGCCTACAAAGATTCCAAATCCCCGACTTCCAAGCCTTGGTCCGCGAGATTCACCCTCGAATCCCACGAATCCAGGCCTGCTACAACGATTGCCCCGGCCTCGGCTTGCGTTCCGAGACGCTGGCGATGGTAACCGCCATCGACGGTCTCTTCTTCTTCGAGCTGATCCTCGGCGACGACACCGATCTACCAGGGCTCTGCAAGCCACCGACCGGCGGCGGACAGTACTTCTTCGAGTACCTCGAGCCGTTTAACTTTTCTGCGACCGGCAAGATTATCGCCGACATCTGCAGGTCGTTTGGGCGGCCTCTGTCCTTTGATCCAAGAGCCGCCGCAGGGAGGAAGCCGCCTCTGCATTCCATTGCCGTAAACGACATGCTTTTGCTGGAGAACCAGATCCCGATCTCCATTGTTGCCGAGGCGCTGGCCAAATTCCGGCCCGACGCCGGCCGAGTGTTGATCCGCCATCTGGATTCGTTTTGTCGGCTTGTCTCTCCGATAGCCCTGCTGAACCGGGAGAACGACGTTGACCTGGAGGAGCCTCCCTTGCATCTGCTGGAGTATTTGTATCGGAAGCTCAATGGCGATGAAGCGGAGCGGGATGGAGTAGTTGCCAGGATCCCGGTGGATCAAGATCTGGATATCCACCATGAAATTTTACATTACGTCCCCGATTGCTTGTGGGTGGGGAAATCAAGAGGTTAGTACCAATCCACGTTAGTAGAAACATTTTGGTGATACATAACTAACTAACATAACCATCAAATCTTGTGCTTTAAAGTGCAATTTTGACTATCTAAAAGTAGGAGCTATTCCTATGAGTAATAAACATTTAATTTTCTCTCTTTAATGTTTAACGTACGATTCTCTCCTGTTTTAAGTCGGAATTTAATTTTTTTTACACCGATAAATCAGATTAATTGTGCTCTTCTAAATAATATCCACTTTGATATATTTTTGTAACAAAAAAATTTAGGCATTTTTCGCCACTCTATACCATGGTGGTATTGATTTGATTGGTATTAAATAAGAGCATATCATATAGTATGAAAATGTACCATGGTAGTATGAACATACCAAGATTGTACAAGTGTTGAACACATCATAGTAAGAGTATACTAACGGTCATTTACCACTTTCAACATTGTGTACCACAAGATACTATTGGGCACTAGCGGAAATGTAATGGGTTTAGGATCGAAAATTTAGAGGAATTGGATTTTATTTCACTCAAACTATTTTTGCAAACACTTGGCAATTATTACCCGATACAAGAGACACTCAAATTTGCTCACCCACTCACTCTCTACTACTTTGCTTCTTGCTCTTTCTCTGATACATTACAAGCTTAACAAGGTCTCTATTTATACTACTCCCCAACCGCCTTAGAGAAACTTCTAGGTAGCTTAATAATTAGGGTAGTTGCTAACAAACTTGTTCTTGTGGTGAGCCTTTTTTTCTTTTCTTTGTTTAATTGCAATGGGTAGTTGGCGATGGATAAGCATGAGCAGATCTTTTTTGTTATCATGTCTTGAGTCTTCTGGAGATATGTAAACTATTGTAGAATGATTGAGTAGCTGGTAGAGAATTGGGGATTAGATAGTTTCACACCCCCTCTTAATCCGCAATTCGTAGTTGCTCTTTGAACTTCTCGAATTTCTCTCGGGTGACTGATTTCGTCATGATGTCCGCAGGCTGATCGTTGGTGTTGATAAACTCCATTGCAATTTCTCCATTACTGACAAGGTCTCGTATGTAGTGATGTCATAGCTCAATGTGTTTCGACCTTGCATGAAATACTGGGTTCATCGTCATTGCTATTGCTGACATATTGTCGCAATGGATTATAGTAGGATCATCATCTCCCTGTTGTAGATCAGAGATTAATCTCCTCAGCCAGACTACTTCACAAGCTGCATCTGTAGCTGCAATATACTCAGCTTCTGCTAATAATAGTGCGACGGTCTTCTGCTTCTTCGAGCTCCATGAAATTTGTTTTGAACCAAGGCAGAAAATATATCCTGATGTGCTTTTGCGATCATCAACATATAGGCAGACAATTAGAAAATCCTTGCCTTCTCCTTTCTTGATATAGACTGATGCTTCATTTGGACTTCTTTGAAATTCTTCTTGCTGAAAGTAGCGATCAATTCTGCTATTCCATGATCGAGGTGCTTATTTAAGTCCATATAGCGCCTTTCGGAGTCGGTAGACTTTATCTTCTTCTCCTTTCTTCTTGTATCCCTGTGGTTGCTCCACATACACTTCTTCTTCGAGTTCTCCATTTAGGAATGCCGATTTGACATCTAACTGGAATATTGGTTACTCCAGTTGTGCTGCTAAAGCAAGAACAGTTCTGATGGTTTCCATCCTGGCCACTGGTGCATATGTCTCTTGAAAATCTATGCCAGGCTGTTGTGTATAGCCTTTTACCACCAGTCTCGCCTTATGCTTCTAGATTGATCCGTCCTCGTTGAACTTGGTCTTGTAGATCCATTTTAGACCTACTACTGGCTTGTCCACGAGCTCCCATGTTTTGTTCTTCTCGATCATCGAGATTTCTGCATCCATAGCCTTCGTCCAGACTTCTTCTTTCAAAGCTTCTTCAAAATATTGCGGCTCACAAGAAAAATAAGCTACGTGACCAGCATCATAAATATCTTGTAAAGACCTTATCTTTCTTGGAGGTGTATCTGAGTATGTGACGACATCTCTGAAGTCGTCTTCGTGTGGACTGCCACTTGGACTTGAGGGTGGATCTCCTTTGTTGCTATCGGCATCTACTGAAGTTGTTTCCTCCAAAATTTCATATATTGGTGGAGATTGTGATGTTTCTGGCTCCCAACACCATTCTGACATTTCGTCGAAGATAACATCTCTTGATATCACCGTTTCATTTTTCACAGGAATATAGAGTCGATATCCCTTGGATTAATCACTATATCCAGTGAATATAAGCTTCTCTCCCTTTTGAACGGATTTATCTCGATTAGGGGTAGAGATATGAGCATAGGCTATGCAACCGAAAACTTTAAGTTGATTAACTTGCGGCTTTCGGTGATGCCATGCCTCATATGGTGTCTTGTTACGCACTGCTTTAGTCGGTGATCTGTTGAGGATATAGATAACTCTGTTGACAGCTTCTGCCCAGAACTTGGTGGGTAGCTTCTTTCCTTTTAGCATGCTTCTGGCCATCTCCACGATAGTGCGGTTCTTTCGCTCCGCCACACCATTTTGTTGTGGTGTGTATCGAACTATCAGCTGCCTCTTGATTCCATTTTCGCGACAGTACTCCATGAATGATTTGTAGATGGATTCTCCCCCATGATCTGAGCGGAGTGTCTTGATTGGTCGACTGCATTTTTTTTCCGCTCAAACTATTTTTACAAACACTTGGCAATTATTGCCCGATACAAGAGACACTCAAATTTGCTCACCCACTCACTCTCTACTACTTTGCTTCTTGCTCTTTCTCTCATACATTACAAGCTTAACAAGGTCTCTATTTATACTACTCCACAACCGCCTTAGAGAAACTTCTAGGTAGCTTAATAATTAGGTTAGTTGCTAACAGACTTGTTCTTGTGGTGAGCCATTTTTTTTTTTTTTTGCTTTGGTTAATTGCAATGGGTAGCTGGAGATGGATAAGCATGAGCAGATTTTTTTTTTTCGTGCTCATGTCTTGAGTCTTTTGGAGACATGTAGGCTATTGTAGAATGATTGAGTATCTTGTAGAGAATTGGGGATTAGATAGTTTCACAGATACCACCCCATACCAGGGTGGTATAGTATGATCTATAATTTGTCCTGTATTTTTTTCGTCCAAAAATTTATAGATCTAATAAATCATGATGAACTCGTTCATTCTTTGCAAAACTTTTAAAAAATGACTTAAAACGAAGGAGATACTATATGGTACTTGGTAATGAAAGGTATGCAATTTTTTTCTCAAAAAATATTGAAAATGGATCTCATTATGTAGAGCACAACAAACTCGTTCCATCTGTGCAAAAAAAAAAAAAATCCGAGTTAGAACGAAAAAGGTAAGAGTCTATTAAGAAAACTGGAGAAAATAAAATGTCTTTAATTCACAACCTTTAGATCTAAATTTTTTTGAACCACTTAATTCCAAAGGTTCTGATTTGGTTACTCATGGGAAGTGGCAGATACATGGGCCTTTAGGACAACCTCTAAAATTTGGGAAAACGATTATCCAACCCCTGGTAATAGTTTGGTGTGGATAAAAAAATATAAATTGTAACCCGGGACACCCTTAAATTTTGGAAAAACATTTATCCTATCCTCGGTAGTTTGCGTATAATTAAAAATTATAAGTGGTACTCTGTGTTATTCAAACCTAGGACACTAAAAAAGTATACACATTTGTTGAGCTGGATGTCGATTTTACATTCTTTTTTCATAATATAAACACTTTGTGGCCTTTTGTTCAAATTTGCGACAGTTGGATAATTTCTTATTTGTGAATTATTTAATTTAGTTTTCGATGTTTTATTTTTTAATTAAATATAATTTGTTGAAGAGAAC